GGCCCGGCCCCTCGCCCCTACACCTACACGCTCATCAGCTGCAGCCCAATTAAGCTCGGTAATGCGCAGGGAGGACTCGAATGCACCCAGGAACGTTTCCCAGAACTCATTAGATCTTATCCGATAAATGCCGCTGACTGCAGGCTGTAGCAGTGCTGCCGTCTGTCCGGGAGCGTGCGCGACCCCGACCAGGCTGATGGAAACGGGGCGGCCGCGGTGGGTGGGACACTGCCTGCGAGGCTGCATGGAAATGGAGCTGCCTGCAGACCCCCTGCTGCCTCCTCACCGCTCCCGAGCCCCTCAGCCCCACACCTGCCCAGGCAGGGTTTTCCTTGCGAGGCCGCCCCAGTGGGAACAGCTTCTGCCGTGGCTGCGCCTCGCCTGCGCGGTTTAGTGCAGCTCATGCAGTTACTGAGTTACTCACCCCCAAATTGCTGCTAAATCCAGAGGTGCTGCTGTCACCCGGTGTGCTATCTATATCCTCTGGGCTTTTTGTCTTTAATTCATCTCCAGCGTCAAACGCGCCCATTTAATTTGTAACAAACTGCCAATAGCAGCCGAAATAATTTTCGGATGGCTAATCCTCTGCATGATTGGGTTTTCGTGTTAGCTTCACTGGTGGTGGCAGAGACAAAATATATTTAGTCCTGCAGCAATACGAACCCGCTGCTTTATTTTCCATCCTATAAGGTCTCGCTAGGCCAGCCGTAACAAGCACTTTGTTTTCAAAGGTTTGTCCCAGGCATGGAAATAGAAACACTTAGGACTTAGCCTTTGTTCCCTTTCAGATGTTTGTTTTCTCAGAGATTTTTCTCTGAATCGGGGAAGATATTTGAACTAATAATAACACTCTTTGGCTGAGGCGTGTATACATTTTATATAAAATGCGTGCCCAAAATAATTCCAGCCACGGAGGGCAGCAGCTCTGTGCCGAGCGGTGCCAGGTCCGGGGGCACGGCGTCCCTCCAGGACAGTGCTGCTGGTGTCCACGAGGCTGAGCACTGATGGAGGTAATTTTGTGTCCTGGCCGAAGTGTGTCCAGCAGCGTTGGGCAGCACCGCTGATGCCAGTTCATGGCTCAGGAGGTGAAGTGGGAGCTGTTGTTTGTCACCTCGCTCTGTGCGTGCAGGGCTGGCTGGGCGCCGTGGGGGCTGCCCCCGCAGTACGGGCTCCTTGCAGGTTGCTGGGGTGGCAAATGAATCCTTGAACTGGATTTCCCTGAGAGCAAATGGGAGGTGTTGGCCAGGCTGGAGGAACTGAAATCGTTGACGTCTGTGAAAGCAAAGAGGGCGAGGACGGCGTCCCCCACCGCTCGCTGTGCCGCGGTGCGCTCGTCCCCTGCTACCTGCTGCTGGCTTCCAGCCGGTGCAGCACAGAAATATTTACTGTTCCTGTAAGCTTTCTCTGCACTGAAGCCTGACTACCAATTACTCTGTATTAAATTATGTTTGGTCATGCTGGTGATTATACAGTATCCAAGCAACCCAGGCATAATCTAATTTAGCACACAACATGGATTTACTCTGCTCCCCTCTCCGCTGTTTTTCTGCAAGTGAATGCGAAGTGACCGGCCTGGGGGCTGCAGCAGCGGTGTGAGCCCACAGCTCCCGGTCCAGCTGCGGGTGCTGGGTGCTTGCAGTGGCATCGTGTGCTGAGAGGAGGGGAAGCAGCCCCAAACCCAATGCCCAGCAGCCAGTCGATATCGCGGCGCGCTGCAAGCACCGAGCGCTGCTCGAGAGGTTGTTCTGGGTTCCCACCTCCCATCTGCGCTGGAGGGGACTTCTGCAAAGCGTGGAGGGCGAGAGAACTGAAAGCGCACCCATCTAAATTGCTGTTAGTGCAATTGATTTCAGAGTGCACTGAGGGCCAGGAAGAAGCAGCAGGTTAAAAGGAAAATACAGGAAATACTTGGAAACCTTCTGAAGGGCAGCTCCGGAATGGAACTAACGATGCCTGCAGAAAAGCATCTGTGAAAAGCACCAGCATTAGGGACACTTTGGGCTGAGAACACCCCGTCTTTAGAAACTGGGGCATTATTTGCTAGTACAAAGGATGATGGAGAGGTATAATTTATAGTAAATCATCATGTGGATAATGGATGTGGAATTTGAAGGATGTGAAAGGTGAATCATGTTTTGTAGCATAGCTTTAGTAACCAAGCACTATAAAGGTTACTAGTGGAAAAGTACCTGTGGTACAGTGCAGAAATTCATGTGCCACCCTGATTTATTCCAGAAGGGACCGAGACCCGGGCAGCTGCAAAATGTCGTTCACCCTTTGCGGAGTCAAAGCTCCGTGGCAAAGAGGAGAGCGTGGTGCCGGCAAGGGCACGGGGCCGAGGGCTGGCACTGGTACCGGGGGGGCTTCCTGGGGGCTGGGGCAGAGCCAGGTCTGCTGCGGGGGCAGCGGGACCCTGCCCTCGCTGGGAAGCCATTAATGCTTTAGTCTGTAATAATTAACAGGACCGTGTACAGCTGCCTCCTGGTAATAAGTCAATGACAAAGCAATTTATTAGAGTGATGTATTACGTGATAACGGTAATGAGAAATGAAGGAACCTAATTTTGTAAGGCTTGGATCAATTCAGTTGTGTTTTTTTAATAAATGAACATTGTTTTAGCAACCACAGAAGATCATTAGAATTATTATTTTATTAGGACTTTCAAAACTATTTCGGTTTCAGCTGCATTTTTTCAAAATCCAAACGGGAGCATGTGGATGTGTGATACTGCTGCAGTGTAAATATTTCATCGGTGCTGGTAAATGTCTCGTTACGGAGGCGGGGAGCAGGCTTGGAAACGTTGCTTCGATTTATCTCCACGGCGCTGCGACCTGTAGCCCGCTGCTGGTGTTGTGTTCAGACGTGGAGCTGGAGCTGCGTGACACGGCGCAGGGGATGCGGTGTGCGGAGGGCTCATTCCTGCGAGTGGAGGGGCAGCTCCTGCGGGGTGCCCCATGGGGCTGGGGTGCCCCCGGTGCGGGGCAGGGAGTGAGGGTCCCTGGGGACGTGGCTGGGGGGACACGAGGGCCCGAGCAGGGCACTGCTGAGGTAGGCGCTTCTCTTGGGGAAATGACACTAGGGAAAGAAAATTACATCCCTCTGCAAGTAGGTGTTTTTTTCCTGTAAGTAAGCAGGTTTTTTCCTAAGTAATTTTTTTTTCCTCTTAGACTTCTGCCTTTCTCTCCGCTCCCCAAGGTTGTGACTTCCTAAGGCAGATTTGCTTCCATTCTGCTGGGTCTGTCGCCGAGGGGAGGTGGTGTGAGCGCTGTGTGCCTGCTTTGGCGTTCCCTCGCTCACCGAGCGGCGATGGGAAGAGCAGCGCGTGGGTAACCGGAGCCTCCCGCCGGGGCAGCCCATCCCCGCAGCGCCGTGGTTTACTGACAGAGGAGATTTCTCAGACACTGGTGATAAAATATTCAGGGCTTCCTGACACTGGGGGAGGTTACGGGTAAGAGGGAGGTCCTACAACACACCCCAGGGACCTTCACTGGGGCTTCTGCACCTTTGAAGGTTGTAAGCCCAGCGCAGGAGGTGCTCGGTGTGCTGGTGGAGGTGACGCCTCTGCGGGGTCTCCAGGGATGTAGCACGCACTGGCACAAACAGGGCTGGAGCTGGGGCAGCTCTGGTGACCGTGAGCACCCCTAGGTGACAAGATCCTCTTCTACGGCCCAAGGAGCTTTGTTTGGGGGTGAGGAATGAAGAGTTCTTCACTGACTCAAGTGAGACTTGGATGGAAAAGGAGGAAAGCCGATTTTAAGTCAGCCCTAGTTTACGCTGTGCTGAAATAAGCTACGCCCGCACACAAACGAGCGCTATCGTCTTGGCTCTGTGATCAGTAATAAAGGCTCATGGCAGTAACATCCTGGGACGATCCAGCAAGATCTGAGAACCTCAGGCTCACGATGTGCTCGCCTAGTGCATGTTTCCAGGGAAAACGGGACGGAAAGACTTCGGGGGAAAGGCGCTCACAGAAACGTGTCAGCTGAGGCTGTGTGTCAGCACAGCCTGAAGTCACCGAGTTTCCTGGTTGAAGAGGTCAGGAGAAAACCACAAAAAAGGCTTGCGAAGATAGGGCTGCAGGGCTCCCACCGCAAGTCCTCCTTGTGTCACTCACTCGCACGTGGCGGTGCGTGACGCGGCGCAGCGCGGCGAGGCTCGGGCGCACGGCTCAGCCAGGGCCCGCGGTGCCAGGCGAGGAGGTCGGGGTCCTGCCGAAGGGCAGCCGTGCACCTGGGCTCCCCGCTGCTCGCCGTGGGGTTTGCTCCCCGCAGCACCTCGCAGGCAGCCAGTGCTCTCAGGGGCTGAGCCGTGCTGCTGATGCTTCGCAGCGCCAAGAGCTGCTCCCGGGGACCCCCCAAAGCGCCCATCAGCGGGGTGCTGGGTCCTGTGTGAGCTGCTTCGTTTTGCTGAGCTGCTCCGCTCCCACGGGCCGCGATCCTCGCTGACATAAAAATAGGGATGATGGGGAGGAAGGCTCCGGTGTCCGCAGGTCCCCGGCCGGTGGATTCCTGGCTGGGGCGGGGACGGGTGCGCGCCCGCTGGTGACGCGAGGTCTCCGCTCCGCAGCCTGCTCCGCTCGGGCTGACCTCTGGGGAAGGCGAACGCTGAAATGGGTGAGAAGGAATTGGATTTTGGAACATATTAGGTCACTCGTTCAGCTGGAGAGCAGCGTGTGTCAGAGGTCCAACAATTTGTTTTTAGAAGGGTTTCAAGCATTAATGATTCAAGATGTTTTCCTGGGAGTGGTTTGCAACATGAGACTCGGTGGCCAGGGCAGCGTTGGGGTTTTATGGGATTAGTCAATTCCTGAGGCTGCGGGGCCTCCAGTAACACAATGGTTAACGTTGTACTTTTCCACATGGCTGAGCCTTCAAGGAGCTCACCAGGAGTGTCAGAAACGCAAACAGAACCGTAAGGTTGGTGCCAGCCATGAGGCGGGGAGGGGGTTTCCATTCTGATTATTCCTATCACCCACTTCTTGCATTGCTTTTGTTTTGCAGAGTTGCAAATAACCACAAGCAGAACCTGATGACTGTTGCTAATCTGGGTGTGGTGTTTGGGCCAACTCTGCTTCGACCCCAAGAGGAAACAGTCGCTGCCATTATGGACATCAAGTTTCAGAACATTGTGATTGAAATTCTCATAGAAAACCATGAGAAGGTAACGGCTTTACGTGCTTCCTTCAGCGCAGTTCATTTCTTAAAACAAATCCGTCTCTCCGCAAGCTGCAGCCCACTTTCCCGGGGCCCTCCTTGCTCTCCGTGGCCGGCAGCCACGAAGGGCTAGGCTTGGTTCCTGCTTTTCTGACTAAATCTGTGTTTGTTCAAGTCCTGGCTTTGTCTGCAGGGGTCGCTCCCTGCGTTGCGATGCGGTTGTGGCTGTGGTTGCAGGGATGCTCCCACCTGTTGCTGGGGTCTGTCAGTGGAGCCGAGTGCCACAGCGGGCTGTGCTGCAGCTGGGGGCTCCCGTGCCTCCCCGGGGAGCTGGATGTCCCCCTGGGGCGCTGGCTGTCCCTCGGGGAGCTCGCTGTCCCCCCCAGGGAGCTGGCCACCCTCAGCGTGGTGCTCAGCCTCAGCCTGCTGACTGCCCGTGGAAGGCTGTGTGATTCAGCAAATGGCAGCTCTAAAAGAATCCATTTTCTTCTAAACTCAAACAGTTCTCCTCTTATCATCTTTGGTCTGGTTTGGGTTGGAGCTGGTACTGAGCTGTGCGTTCTGGCTGAAAAATGGAGTGCGACTCGCCAAGGGGAGTGGGGGCACCGCTGCCAGGCAGCACTGCAGCTCCAGCCTGGGGCTTCTGACTGCCGACGCTGTGAACCCGAGCACTGCTTGCAGGTTGCGTGCAGCGTGCCTGCGTGTACGTGGGCTGGTGGGGAGAGGCACGCTGGGCTGCCTGGAGGCAGTGAGGTGCATCACCACAAACACCGCGTTCCTGCAGGTGCCCCGGCCAAAGGGACGCCGTGCCACACCTCCCTGCGCGGTGCCGCTGGGTGCCCGTGGGGGGAGAGCAGCGTGGGCTGGGAAGCTGCAGGATGCAGGAGCTGGTTCTGGGTGCTGCGAGGTACCCAGGGCTCTGGGCTCGCTCTGGAGACGTTTCGCCCCCAATTTCACACCGAAGGTGCGAGGCTGAGTCCCCGGCACGTGCGGTGTGGGTGTCGGTGGGGTGCGTGGTCTGCCGAGGGGCAGCAAATGCATGACCAGCGGGGATGGATGGGGACACTGTGCTTTGTGTGTCCTCAGAGAAGCTGCCTCCCCGGGCAGATAAGCGCCATGGTATTTATTTAGCACGGAGGAGCTATTTTCTTCTCCTCTGCGTGGGGGGCAGTGGCGGTGATTGCTTAATTAGGAGCTGCCACGCAGAGGGGCGTGCGAGCAGCAGCAACAAACCTGGGGTTGTGGGCAAGGCACAAACCCGGCACAAAGCCTCGTGTTGGCCCTCGGTGGCTGTTTCTCTGTCCTTCCATGGTGGCCCTGCAGTGGCCCAGGGGAACCTCACTGCTGTGCCTGGCGCTTGGTGGTGACGGGCTCGTTGGCTGCATCCCCAGCGTCCTGCTTGTGGCCCCGCTGAGCTCTGGGGGTCCCTAGAGGAGCAGGTGGTCACACACAGATCCCTCTTCTGCCTGAACCGAGGCTCCTGAACCGAGCCTCCTGCCATCAGTTGGCACCTGCAGGAATCGATGACAGATTTCTGCAGTGCTCGTGTCTGTGTGGGCTGCAGTGCTCATCTCCGCTCCCCAGCAGAATTACACCTGGTGGCGCAGGGCTGCCGAGCGCTGCCATGATCACCCTGCCTTGGGAGTAATTTACGGCCCCAGCGGGAGGGGGAAGCTGCGGCTCGGTTCCGTGCTTCCCTCCCCGCTGAGCTGCGGGGGGGCGAGTGCAGTGCGTGCACCCCGGCTGCTCCCGTGCAGCGGGTGCTGGTGGTGCAGGATGGTGCCCTCGCTGCCCACAGCGGAACGGGTGCCCCTTGGCACCAGGATGCTGCACACACAATGTCTGTGGACCCCTGCCCTCATTTCTCGAGGGGCTCTTGGGAAATGATCCCAAGAAGAAGGGAGACAGCAAGAGGCAACTACTGGGAGGAAAATCTGTTTTAAATTCAGCATCGGTGCTGGTTCGGCTCCCTCTTTAGGACTGCTTCGTTTCAGTGTATTCCTTAATTTGAATTGATTGGAACTCGCTGAAGTTTCCCCCCGGGAGCTGCTGTAGGTGATTAGCAATATGCAAGTCCTCTGTGCCGGTGCTGCTGGTGCTTTATATTGTTTTACGCTGGTGACTCACAGACACTGTTTATGATTAAGTGCATTCGCAGGGAAAATGTAATTGATTTGAATGGTTCCTGGCAATCAGCAACTGTCTGGTATTACATTATATTTCCCTCAGGTAAGTGGGATGCCTCTCCTGTTAAAATTACTGTCGTCATTGTGTAACCAAAAAAAAAAGAGAAGAAAAAAAGCAACAAGCTTGGTGATGACATTGCTTGGTCTGAGTAACTGCTGGCAGCTTGTTTACAGTCCCTCCAGCAGGCTTAGCCCATCGCTGGAGCCGTGGGGAAGGTGTCGGGGGGCAGTCACCCTGCTCTGCTCACTGCCGGGCATTGCAGTAGCCCCCTGGGGTTACCCGTGGGGCACAGCACCCACCCCAAGGGCACAGAGGGGCAGGGGCGGGTGGTGCAGGACACGCAGTGACGGTGCCGTGTCCGTGCTGTTACCCAGAGCTGGTGCTGCCCACAGCGTGCCCCCGGCTGGTGTCTGGGTGCGTGTCGGGAGCGAGGCGCAGTTTGGAATGGTAATCAGCAGAACGGGGGCTTTGTGAGGCTTCCCGGAACGGCTGGGAAATTACGGCTTGCTCCGCGTTGCCAGAGCCTCCGACACAGGCCATTAAGCTCTGTGTGCAAGCCAGAAAGTTGAATCGTTCCTGGGGATTTTACAGGTTTCCAGGTCTTGGATCCAAACGGGTGGTTGTACTCGCAATAGCACCGATAAAGCCAGGCTGTTTGTAGGGCTTCTCGGGCGTGTTCTCCTTGAGAAGGTCTCTGCATGAAGTTATCGCAGGCCCCGCGTTTATCTTTGTAATTGCAGCTGTCAGGGGGAACTCTTGCACTTTGGGTTATTTCCCAGGGGCTGTACTGACACCAGAGCTTCTGGAGGTGTGGAGCAGCATTGGGGTGGTGTAGAGTCAGGGCTTGGGGAACGGGGGGACAAAATATCCTAGCGGCCGCACCATTTGCATGCCAGATGCTACAAGAGAGCAAACAGGAACCCTGGAAAAGCTGAGCTGGAGCAAACGTGCCCGGTGCTCACCTGCCCAGCACCTCCCAGCGAATGGACAAAGCCTGGAGTCGTTCCTTAGCGAGATGCCTCCGTTAGCGGTTGTCAGCCTTTGCTGTGTGTGCTTGTGGATGCAGTACGTTGGCGTGATGTGATATAAAATACACACCCAGTGTATATTTTTAAATGGATAAAATGACTTTTCTCCTATGGCTCCAGATGTCGCCATGACGAGCAAACCAAGAGGGTATCCTCTAAAAAAATCAGGATGCTGTGTGTTATTAGTTACTCAAGAGAGTGCTATTTAACACCATATTTCTAAAAAATCGACAATAAATTGACTTAAAAATTAAATGTTAGCAGAAAGCAATACTGAAATATTATTACATCTGGTGGCGTTTAATTTTCTGAAAATTGTGGCTGTCCATCCACTTTATTTTCCAAAGCTTTTATTTGTGTAGCTCTCCGGAAAAGGCCATTGTTCTGAAGTGTTACAAAATTAAGACATCAATACACTGTCTTGACGACGTTCCCTCAGACAAAAGCTTCACCAGCTGAATTGTTTCTGCACACGGTAGTGATGACAAATGAGAGACCAGCCCTTGCAGGGACTTGCACGGACCCAAACGCCAGCCTTACTCGGTGGTAAGAATTAATGCCGAAGTCAAAGCCCTCAGCACCTCATCTTTATTTTATTCTTTCTCTAATTAGCAACAGTTTTTAGCAGTGCTGTTGGCAGCAGTTTAGTTGCCCTCGAATGAAGTTTGTCCCACGTCCATTTGGAGCGCCGCGGCAGCTCCTGGCTCTGCCAGCTCCTGGGGCGAGTCGGTGCCACCGGCGGAGCAGGGGCTGCGTCTGTGTGCTCTGGTATCGTGCTCCTCTGACCTGGGAAGGAAACCCAACCTGCCCCTTTTTTGGCTTGTTTGTGATAACGGGGCACGGCACTTCTCCGTCTCACAGAGATCAGGGTAACGGGTGCCCAGCACCAAAGTTCTCCGCAGAGCGCTGACCCCGCGCGTGCCTGGGGACCGCTTCCTCGGGAGCAGTCGTCAGCACTGTGAAGCCATCGCTTATATAACCAGCTCCAGATAATGAGGTCAGCGGGCAGATTCCTCATCCTCTGGAGCAGCCGCGGAGCACAAGGTTTAACAGCACTCGGATGGTTTCGTTCAGGGGTGGGGGCTGCTCCCAAAGCCTCCCGCTCCCGGTGCTCGGGGTGCTGCCGGTGCCTGGCCCTTCTGTGGCTGTGGAGCAGCGAAGTTACCGCTTGCATCAGACAGAGCGAGCACAAGGGCTGTAAATGTAATTTATGAATCCTGGCTGCTCCTCTCCCCGTCTGACCGTTAAGCTGTCTCGCTCTCTCCGTTAATTGGACTCTGGGACGGGAGAGTTATAACGCGGGTACGCACAGCGAGGAACACGTCTCGCTGAGTCTCGTTAAATTAGAGACTGAAACAAACCTGACAAACTTTCTGGTGAAGAAGAGTGGAGTTTTTATGCGAGCGATGCCTCGGCTGGGGGAAGTGGAGCGGGAGTTTTTGAGGCTGGCTGGGGGGGTTTCCTTCGCTGCCGAGGAGGCCGGCGCAGTTTCCGGGCGCGTAGCGCTGGCCAAGTCACTTCGAGAACGAACTATTTATCTTACGGCTCCCTGAGCCCTCAGACTCCTCCCTCTGTGGACCTTCAGAATAAATGCTGGTGCTTTTTAAAATGGAGCTATTGACTGGCTTTCCCCTGTTGCAGTTAAATGCAGCCGGGGTGCTGCGTACCACCCGAGGTGGCCGAGGGGCCGCTTGGCACAGCCCTGCCTCTGCTGCGCCTCCTGGCCTGGTGGTGCTGGGGGGCTGCGGTGGGGCTGCCCTCCCTGCCCTGCCAGCCCCCAGCCTGCCCCCTCTGAGGTGAGGCGGGAGGGTGGGCATGGAGCAGTGGGAGGTCTGGGGCTGGAAAGCATCCCGGAGAAACTGGGGCACTCCTGCTTCACCGGGAGGCAGCGCCGTGCCACTGGCACCGAGCGGCATCGCTCCAAGCCCTGCCCTCCCCGGGCAGCAGAGAGGTGGTGTGGTGGTCCTGCTGTGTCCTACCAGGTCCTACTGTGTCCTGCTGTGTCCTACCGTATCCTGCAGTGCCCAGCCATGTCCAGCCGTGCCCAGCCGTGTCCTGCAGTGCCCAGCCGTGCCAGCCCAGGACAGCCGGCTGGTGCAGCCCTCAGGGCTTTAATCTGTGCTGCACGAGAGGCATAAAAGACCTTGTGGCTTAATAAAAGAAGTTTATAACCTAGCAGGAAGCAGCATATTTACCGAGCCTTTACAATTGCAGTTGCGTCAGGGAGTGAAGTGGAGGCTGTAAAGCGAGCGCTTGGAGTGGAGGCGAGCACATCAAAGCCCGCGCGGGGAAGGGCGGCGGAGGGGAGGCGGTGGTGGCAGTGGCACGCAGGACACGGCTCTGGGTACCGGCCCCTGCCCTGCCAGAGCAGCATCTCCGTGTCTCCACGGGCACCAGGGGAGGTGTGGGCAGGCTGTAGGGTGAATATTTGGGCTGGTCAGACACTGTAACTGAAATAGAGTTGGTTGTGGTGGGTCGGAGGGGGTAAGATATCACACGCTGAAGCATTTTAGTTGAACCGTTTCATGCAGCTGCTTTGAGCAACACAAGCTCCTTATAAGCTGAGGCTGGTTTCAGGCACTCGGTCTGTAATTTTAACGCAGATATACCTTCTGTGATTGAACACCAAAAAGAGGACACAAAAACCTGGAAGTTTAACTTCAAGTGTGCTGTGGGAAGCTATCACATGAGATGCCATTCACAAATGGACACATTTATTTGCTTTGATTATATATTTCATTTTCATATATTTTGGTTACGTACTTCATCATTTTCCCAAGCAATTTGCAAAGCATTTAATAGCAGAAAGTGGCCGTTCCGGGCCTGGAGAGCAGAGTGCAGGTGAGTGAGGTGCCTGCTGCAGAGGGTCCTGCGCCCTGCCTGGTGCAGAAGGAACAGCTCCAGCCTCGGGGCTGGGCCCTGGAGCCCAGCAGCTGCCAGAGGCACAGCCGGGTGAGCAAACGGCACTGGGGGTGGGCAGTGGGGCTGCCACCAGTCCCCAGGTCCCACGGGGCAGGGCTGGCTGCGGGCAGGCTCGGCACAGCAGGCGCGGTGGAAGCGAGCGGGGCTGCCTGCAGAAAGCACGGCTCGGGCTGGTGGTGCTGGGGGTGATCCATGGGCCCGGGAGGAATGTGCGAATGAGCTCAGCGGGGCTCTCCTTCCCCAGGAGGAAGGTCGGCTGCAGCTACATAATCCGTCCATCTGTCTGCGGCGTGTCCAGCTATGCACAGCCTCCAGTGCTCGCGGTGCCAGTCTCGGGGCGTGCGGGGAGCCATGCGTGGTGACCCCTCTCTGCTTCCTCGGCCTCACGCAGCGCCAGGGGCTCCAAACCCCAGCAGAGCTCGAGCAGCGAGCACCCGCAAGCAGGAGGGCTGCCTGGAGCGCTGCTTGAGGTGCCCTCCACCACGGGGTGCTGGATTTGCCGAGAACAGTCTGTTAGTTTTTTTACCAGGGGCCGTGCCTGCCTCTCCGTGCTGTTTGGGAGAGATGTGACATTACAATATTTGGCTAAAGCATCTTGGCAATTTAGCATTTATTTGTGAGAGTCAGCACGGAGGGTTTACTCATGTGTGCCTGAGGATTATGTTGCTGTTACATGAAAAAGAGCAATTAGCTCCTGGCAGCGGCTCGCTCTGGCTGGTGAGCGGCATCCTGCAGCTCTGCTGCCTGCTGGGGCGGCACCCACCAGGGCACGGGGCAGCGGGTGGCTCTCGGGAGCAGTTCTCCTGTTGGCAAAGCCCAGCAGTGCCACTCAGCACCGGGCAGCCCTGGGCACCTCTCCGGGGTGCTGGGCACAGCCAGACAAGGCACAAAAGTCTCAGAGATTCTTGCAAACGGAGACCTTGGAAGAACTGGTGCTGAACGCTGATGTTGGAGCCTGGGGTTACAGAAAAACAATAAATAACCAGATATCAACGACAAACAGAACTGGTGCTCATTAGGTTCATGCAGTTTAAAAATTCCATCCCCTTGAGAAAAATGTGATTACTCAGTTTTCTGACAGCTGTAGCTGGAAGCTGGGAAGACTTTCCCAAGCTGGTTTGCATCACCGGGCGCCGAGCCTGTGGCAAGGACAGGCGCACACTGGCTGCTCTTCCCTCGGGCGCTCTCCCACCAACACCTGCAAGGGCACCGCAGAGCCTTGAACACCAAAAAGCCCACTGTAGGGTCTATCAAATGCCGCAACAAGAGTGCAAACATTAGAAACGTAGAACTTAGGAAATTGTACCCAAATGTCACTCGTTCTGTGGGTCTTCTGCGGATGCTGCTCCTTGGTGTGGCAGTGGGGTGCTGCAGGCCAGGCAGGCGGAAAGCTGCCAAGGAAACCTGTTTCTTATTTTTAACAGATCTTTAACACTGTGCCGGAGACCCCGCCGTCGAACTCGCAGCTGCTGCTATCTCGCAAGAAGAGCACGGACTCGAAGCCCCCCTCGTGCAGCGAGCGGCCCCTGACTCTCTTCCACACGGCGCAGCCCAACGAGAAGCGTAAGTGCTGCCCCTGCCCTGCTGCTCACGGCCAGCTGGCCATTCCTGCACCACCACACGCAGCTGCCGTGGTACCGATGAGAGGTGCATCCTGTAAGAGGATAGTGCCTCGGTTTCCTGCGCTGTCGTGCTGAGAGGGAGTGCAAAGACTGCCTGGCATCCCATGCTGTGAGCAGGGCTGGGGGGCTGCGTTGGCGCGGTGTAGTGTTGCTGCCCCGGCCCCCGGAGCCTTCCCTGCCTCACGGCCCCCGTCCCCGCTGTCCCCAGCTGCCGAGGCCCTGCAGTGTGTGGGGCAGAGCCCGCAGCCGATCCTCTCTGGACGCCCACGGGCACTTTGCCTTTCACAGACACAACAAGCTCAGCCAGGAGGTTCTGCATTTTTCCACGGATTAGGTACCCCGGCAGCTTAAAAATGCTGGAGATCGTCTTTCCAGTTCTGTCACTAATTGGCTCCAGACACTTAGGTGAAGCAGTCAGCGTGCCCTCCCACCTCCCACGCTGCTGCCTCACCTTGTTCTGTCCCCGGCCATCCCCAATGCTGCAGCAGGGGCAGGAGCCGGGCTGGCAGCGGGCACTGCCCGGGGCTCACCGGGGTGGTGAGGGGGCAGCGTGAGCCCCTCGCCCCCTCGCTGTAGCAGAGAGGCTGCTGTTTGCTTTCCTGACTCTCCAAACACTGGCGCTTCCCTGCCTCTGACTGAGTTCCCATTAAGGTCCAAGCACTCCCATTTTGGAGGATGTCGTAATAACGTGTGGATTTAGGAGGCGGTGGTACAGATGTATGCTGGAAATGGCTGTACCCCAGCTGTCAGTGCAGCCCTGAATATCAGCATCTGCTTTGGGGAAATTTCAGCCTAATTAGTTTATTTGCTGATAACTCAGCAGATGTTTGGTAGATGCTGGAGTCACCTGGCTGCCAGGTCCTTCGTGTGCTGTCCTCAGCTTGCCTGGAAGAGGAACCGAGTTCGTTTATTTATTTCTGTAGCTATTTACCCTCAAGAGAAGCAATATTTTCTCAGCTTTCCTCCTGACGGTCTGCAGTCTCCTGTGTTTGTGGGCTGAAGCACGAGGGCTGGGGCAGGGGCTGGAGCCAGGGCAGCCGAGGAGAAGCAGCAGACGCTGCCCCTGTCCAGAGCTGGGACACAGAAAGCGCCCTGCTTTTGGGGCTCCCAAGCAGCACGGCTCTTCCTGCTCCCGGCCACAGCTGCTCCCGGTCTGGAAGGTGGTGAGAGGGCTGTGGGAGTGCGGCTCGCTCGTGCATCACGGGATGAGCGGGGGCAGCTTTCCAGCCATGCAGGCTGGCGGGATTTGTCCTAACCGTCCTTAAATGCAGCAAGGTGCCTGGGGTTATTTGGCAGGCGCTGAGCCTTCCCAGCGCCAGCTGTGTTTGCAGCTGTGCTGCTGGTGCTCGGAGGTTCACTCGCTGGCCGGGGTCTGTGCCTGAGCCGCCTGCTCTGCCCGCCCCGCGGGGAGCTGCTCCGCGCAGGAGGGGCGCAGCTGGGTGCTCCTGCCTCAAAATCCGTGCCAGGAGAGGTGGAGGGGGCTCAGCAGCCCTGAACACAGCAGGGGCACCGGCCGCAGGACTCTGCTCCCTGGAACAGGGGCACGGCGAGATCTGAGAGCCCAGGTTGGAGCTAGGCATGTCCAGAACTGAAGCAGAGCACACATTTTTCTAACACCGAGGGCAATTTAGCCATAAGAAGGAGCTAAGTGGGGCAGTGAATTTCCCATTATTTGATATCTGTTCTTTGGAGTACAATATCTTTCTGAAACTTTCACTGAGATTCATCATACAAAGCTGTGCGTAACGCAGAAGTTATCGTGTTCAGCACACAGGATCACGCAAGAGAGCAGATTAGATAATTACAATGATAATTTTGCTGTTAAATGCTCGCATTTTTGCCCACAACTGACCTGGGTCAAGTGTGACCCAGGAACCGAGTGGATATTGTGCAACAAGCGGGGCTAACACAACAATGCACCGCTTTGGTCCTTACCAGGTTTTCCTTATAAGCGGCATTTTGGCCCTTTGCTCGTGTTTTGTTATGCAGGGTGCTTTTGTCATCCCTTCCGTGGTCCCTGTGAGGGTTATCGAGGTGCCCCAGAGCTGGGTTCCCAGCCACGGGGCGCTGCTCTGGCACCTGGCATTTGGGACCTCTGCATGGGCGGTTTTCGGAGCGGCTCCTCTGCCCTGGCGGTGCTGTGGCAGCTTGGCTGCCCTGCTCCCCGAGCTCTAAGGACAAATTAAGTACCACAGCAAAGAGTCCTTCACTTAAGCTGTTAAAATCATGAAGCAAAACACAATCCCAGCCTCTTAAAAAGGAGGAAATAAAATAAAGGCACGGTTTCCGATTCTGCCATTCATCTCCCGTCCTCTGCAGATGAAACACTTCCAGTTCCTTGGCTGATAGCGACTTTAATTCAATGTTGGCTGGTAGCTGCGTCTGAGATTACACAGGCAATTGACACTGATTTGTGAGGCTTACAGAGCTTATTTTCGGACTTCAGCCTTGGGCAGAAAATGTTTGGAAACAAGCGGACGTCGCGGCCGAAGGCTCTGCAGGCGCAGCTCTGTGCTGCCGGGGCCGGTGTGGGGAGAGGTCGGCACAGCCAGGGGCTGCCGGGCACACACCGGCCTCGGAACCTGCACTGCTGGGTGCAAAGAGCCAGGACTGAGGTGGATTGGCTTTTTTTGGGGGGGTTTAGGTCCTTTGGCAGGTGGATTTCTCCCTTATTCATCTGCTGGCTGCTCTGTCCCCCGGTCAACATTTGGAGAGCCCAGCCTCTGCTTTTCTTTGCTCTTGCTTCTCCTTATCTTCCCATACCTGCTGCTGGAGCTGGCCGGGAACCGTGGGCCAATAAATATCTTTAAATTCAGCACTCCGGGGAAATCTCTCTTGTTTGTGAGCCTTTCTGACGTGGTTTAGGGAAAGCACGGCTCGTTGTTTGATCCGCTGTGTGACTCATCGCTGAAGAGGTCGCCTGTGTTTTCCTTTTAACGCCACAGACGGTGGCAGCCTGGAAAAAAATCCAGCTGGGTGCATCACAGGAACAGCGGAGGGGACAGAGACGTGTTGGAGATACCTGCTCCCCTGTCAGCTGGTTGGAGATCAAGATTAATGACATGCAATTTCGGGAACCTGTTTACATCTGTAGACACGAATATCACACCCTTGGCTTTCTGTAATCTTTGGAGGATCACCTGGGCTGAGCTTGGGCCCTCCTGCTGCCCGCAAGCGCTCTGATTGTGCCCAGGAACCAGGAGAACTCGGTGACCCCGGGGAGCGAACGTGACGAGGAGCGTTAGACTTTGCTCCTTGCCCTGGCACCCAGGAACCTTTGGCTCTCGTAATCTTTTTTCTTTGAAACGGTGGCAAAGGGCTTACACAATGCCATGTTCCCCTGTCCCCGAGGCAGCACAGCTTCCAGGCTATTGCACAGAGACCTGAGGGGTTTCTCTCTGCTCAGGCTTAACCCTCCGCATAGCTCAGGCTTCCTCTTGCTGTTTATCCTCCTTTAAACGTGCACAGGACGTAGATGAGTATTGCATGCTGGCCTTCTAATGCAAGCAGATGTATCTATACGTATAATTTGAAGGGATTGAGAACGAGAGGTCCTTTATTCCTACGTGTTTTTCAGGAGCAATTTGATCATATTGGTGTGCACAGGAAAAAGAGCTGGGAGCGCTCAGAGCAGCTACAACGAAATGGAGAGGAGAAGAGAGCCCTTCCCCTTCCTCCTCAGCCCCGTCTGTAACAAGGCTGTGCTGGGATGCTGGGCACAGCCAGAGAAGGCTGAGAGTAGTTATTGTCACATCCTAGGCTGAAGCATTGCTGTGCTGAGATAAACTGTAACTGGGTGATCTGTCCTTTCCCTCTTCCGAAATGTTATCCTAGCCTCTCACACAAACGTTCGGCCCTGTGGTCGCTGATTTCAGTCAGATATTTGTTCCTGTACACAGCTTGCATTCTAATTTTTTTCAGGTTATGTAGCACTTTGGAAGTCTTTGGGAATATAAGATATTAATGCCTTAAGAGAAAAGAATTCGTTAAAATATCATTCATTTAAAATGTATTTGCATCAATAAAAAAAAGTGGTGTAATAATTGTCTATGGATGTACAACACAGAAAATGTGGCCGTAAGCTAACTGGGGATCTGGTGGGATCGTGCCCTGCTTCCAGGAGGGCAGGGATTATTAATAGGATGCCATATGCCTTCGCAGCTGTATGCTCTTTTTTAAGCAATAGCAGCTATGTGTGGTGTCTGATGGTCCTTGGGTTTCGGTGTTTTTCAGAGGAGAACAGGAACAGTATCATCAACTCCAGCCTGGAATCCGTCGTATCTTCAAATGCAAACAGCTTCCTCAACTCCAACAGCTCTCCCCAGCCCAACCTGAACTCAAGTGATCTCGAACTAGAAGTAATTAAACCCAACAGGCCAAATTCACTGTAAGTACGGTAGTAATTAGTGTTTTATAGGCTCTCCGTCCTTAATCTTTAATCAGGGCTGTTTCTTACTCTGAATCCCAGCAGTTTGTGGAAGAAAACAATTTAACGTTTTAATTTTTAATGGGCGCCTAGCATGTGTCCTGCATTTTTAACTCTGCCTAAGTGGTGGGATTAGTGGCTGCGGGTTGGGTCTGCTGGTGAGCTCAGCCCGGGTTATTTTGAGCACGCGGGATATTTTTCAGGCAGGGCTCCGCGTTGCTGTTTGAACTGCCTGACCCATCTGGAGATAACTCCAGCAAACACAAAGGACTTTTCTTCTGAGTTAAATCCTATGACTGTTGTCAGTACAGTTGATCTCCAGCCAAATCTGTGCCATTGCTTCTGCTATTGCTTCCTTCATCTGGAAAGTTCAAGGGAAAAAATAGCGACCTTAGCAATGACTCCCCGGGGACGGCCGAGTTATTTATGAAGTCCCCTGGACTTGACACAGCCGAGCCCTCGCACCAGTGGCCGCTCTGCTGCGGGGAATTTCCTTCCTGCCGCGGCCCTGCTGGGCCCCGGCGCATTTTCCCACAGAACCTCCCTCCCCTCCTGCACACGCCAAGAGCAGACACGGTGCCGGTGCTGGTGCCGGTGACCCTGGCTGTGGTCCCTCTGGTTGGTGGCAGGGGATGGGTTTGGGGTCCGGGGTGCAGTGCCCGTGCCCCTCAGGGGGTCTCATCCCCACGGCGCTGGGACAGGCGAAGGTAGGTGCACGTTGGCAGTGCCCGGGCGGAGAAGGGCTCTGGCTTTCGCCCACCAGCTCCATCTCTTTCCCATCACACTGCTGCCCCTAAAACCCTGCGTGCAAACCCAGCCGACCTCGTGTAAGCCGAGCCCACCCGGCAGGGTGCTGGGTGGGCAAAGCAGCGCCCACGGGGCAGGAGCCATGGTAAGGCCGTGAGTTGTGTGCCCTGAACCGAGGTGGGGTGTGCGGGTCTCGTGCCCGTGCTGCTGGTGGAAGCCCTGGAGGTCGGTCACATGCCGTTGCCCCCAGCAGGATGTTTTTAGTTTATTTGTCCTCCGAGGGAAGAAAATTATTTGATTTGTCTTGTTGTGACTTTAAAGAATCGTTTGCCAAATTTGCAGTTTTTTAAATTCCAAGAGTTGCTCTTCCTAATAACTTATTTTTTAAAGAAAGTCGTAAAGAAGCGCAGCAGAATGAACCAGTTCAGGCCGTGTGGGGCTCTGGGGAGCGGAGGCGTCCTGCTGTCACCCAGAGCTACGTGAGCAGACTGGAGCAGAACCATTTGCTTGCTGTCCATAAGGGGCCTTGACACTTGTGCAAAGTGAAGCGGAGCCTAGCAGGGTAGCCCTGGCAGCACTCCTGCCTCTGGCAACGTTTGTGGCATTGGGCATTTTCCCTTACATCCAGTGATTACACACACACAAATGTGCAAGCTTTTAGTCAAGGTCGAGCTAAAGGTTAAAAAGTAAGTCTAAAGTGAATACCTCAAAGCAAATGTTTTGTTCTCTATGACCCCAATTATGTCACTCAAATGTCTGTAATCCAATCTTTCAATGAGAAATGAAGTGTTTGACTTCATTTTATTTTCCTTTAATGCTACGTATAGATGTCTCTTCAGCCTCTGTGCCTGCTTACCCATCAGCCTGCGTCTGCTCCGCACGAGCCCATGCTGTTCCCATACTTATCTGTGCTGCTGGGGTTTAATGTTTGCTGAAACGCATTAGTTTGTCTTTAAATATTTGCTTTTAACCTAATTTGTAGTCCCATGAAAATTTGATTGCTGTATTTCCTCTGCAGTGCTGGGGTGGTTAAACACCCAGATCGTTTCCACGTGTGTATTTGTAGCCGGCTCGAGCCAGCTGATGGGGCTCAGCCCCCACGCGGCGTCTGGGGGGGGACCGGGGGGAGCAGCGTGTGCAGGGGGGCTGCCAGGCGTGCTCGGAGCACACATTTTCAGACAAGTAAGGGCTTGGTGCGAGTGGGTTTGGTTCCACACCAGGGCTGTGGGTCGGTGATGGTTGGGGTGCCCTGCTCTGCTTGGGGCGGTCACCGGAGTCACTCCCAGCCGCGGTGACCACCGTGCCCAGCCCATGGAGGTGCAGGGCTCCTCTGCCCCGTGCGGGTGCTGATGGGCAGAGGCGAGGAGGAGGAGGAAGAGGAGGAGGAGGAGGAGTGCTGTCTGGGCAGGAGCTGTGGCTGTGCACGGGCTGCGCTCTCGGGGTCGGGGCGCGCGGCCTGAATGGTGCCAGTGTCCCGGCGGCGTTGTCGCTGCTGCCCTGCGGCGCTGCACAAATAATGCCTGTATAAAGCCGTCCCTGTTTCTTTAACCAGCTGAGTAATTTCGGCTTTGCAAAGCCTTGGGCAGCTCTGTACGCTGGAGTCGGCTGCTATTATCTGTTACTGCCGTGCGAGGGTTTCCAGTGCTCCCCTGTAATTACCGGGCCCACAATGAGGAGTTGGGAGCGTGTCAGGGTGCCTCGCTCTCCGCGCCCCTTCAAAACCCCTGCCAAACCCTCTGCCAGTCCCGTGAGACCCATCGTTGAGCTCAGCTTCAGGAGTTTGTTTTTTTTTCCTGCATTCTTCACCATTTTCTGTAAGATTTTGGCCGCAGGCCAGGGCTGTCCCATCTCGGGACCCGCTCAGGAGGAGCTGCCCGGCCCACGGCTGCAGCAGCTCGCGGAGCTGGCAGAATTCAAGAATTCAAGCCCTGCAGCTGAGGAGCTGTAAAATTCCAGGTGTGAGCAGGCCGGGAAGCCCCGCTTTCCTTCCTTAAAGAAAAAAGGATTTCTTTCTGAACAAGGCACTCTTTGAGAGTACCAGTAAAAAAGGAATCCTGGATTTGGTGCTTCCTTCCCTAAAGTGACAACAGCAAAGGTCAGGAAATTAAAAACTCACCCAGACCAGAATTTAATTTCTTTTTTTTTTTTTTTTTTTTTTTGGTGTCTGAAGTCACCAGTGAGAGACACTTCCATGCAGGCCATCGTGCACCAGGGCCTTTTGCTCTGTTCTGCCACTGGGAGATGGATGGGTTTGGTGCCTTTGGTCACCGACATCTCTGGCCCTCATGGTGGGCACCCAGCCCCTCGGGGTGCCAGGGCACCCAGCTCAATGTCTGCATAAGCTCTCGGGGTGCTGCCAGGAGAGGCTGCGTTGGTTGGAAGTTTGAGCTTCTCACTGAGCTGCCTGTGTTTGTGTCAAAGTAAGGCTCTGAAGCTCCCGCTGCTCTCAGCACAAGGCTTGCTGGAGTAAAGACATTAGGGCCGCAGGTTTGGGGGGTGTCTTGTTTTTGTTTTGCTGCAGTGAGCACCGGCACATTCGATGTACCCTGTGGCCTTGCAGTGTGTGATGCTGGAAGTTTTGAATGCCGTCTGTGGAAGCAGAGAAGTTGGAGCTTTGTCTCCAAAGCTTCTCAGCTCGCTGGCAGATGCTGGTGCGTAGCTCAGCTCTGCTCCACGCGGGGCTGAGCCCAAATCCTGCTCCTCAGATCCTCCCAGGGGTCCCTCCCAGCTCCGGCTGCTCTCCCAGATCTCTGCACGTGAGCGGGGCCGGGTGGCCGTGCCGGGCGCTGTGCGAGCAGCCCGCATGGGACGCGCTCTGCGTGCCACCGCCGTCCTTCGGCCGGGGGAACTCGCTCCTTTCCAGGTTTGCCTTCCTCGGTCCTGGCCCTCCATCGCGAGCCAGGAGGGAAATTGTTTTGCTGCAGGGCGAAGGCTCTTCCTTCCCAGGCACCAATCAGGGTTTTACGATGGGAATGCGTTTATTTATTAGGGCTGGTTTTATTTTTATGGAAAAACTGCTCTGGGCGGGAGTTGTTCTGGTGAGTCAGCAGGGCTGCTGTCCCCTGCCAGGAGCTGTCGCTGCGGCCGCGGGCACGAGGGACCAGAGCTGGCTGTCTGCTGCCACCAACGCCCCACATGGGGATTTGAAAAATTTTCTTTTAAATAGGCACTGATTTTCTTTACCCTCGCCATTGCAGAGAACTTCTTCCTTAGGAAACATGACAAAACAAAAGCCAGAAAAGCCTGTATTTCTAGCACGGATAGATGCTTCGGCTGAAACGGGGAAAGTTTTCAAACACTGTGTGATCACAGAGTACATAAGACTTAAGAACGTTTTTTTATTTTTCAATCCTTAAAAGCCAGCACCTTGCTCTGGTGACCTGGTGATGCACGCCGGAGATGTGCGCTGGATGGAGCAGCGAGGGTTTCAGTCTGCTCTCTCATCCTAATTTCTTCTTGTGCGTGACAGTGGTGAAGGTGGGGTGAGGCCAGGTGACTTTTTGCCCTGTAACTAGATGGGCTGGATTTTTGCATCACGACTTCATGAAGTCTGTCGGCCTGCTCAGAAGTAGGAGCATGCAAACGATGTCCAGGAGGCTTCTGCCTTCTCTCAGAAGGGGAGATTTGCATCCCAAGCATGCAGACAGGATGGTCGGAGCGGGTGGGAGAGCACCAGGAGCTTACAGCTAGCCCGGGTGGTGCTCGCCCTGGCCCCAGGCATCCCACAGCCACTGCAGCAGTGCCCCTGCTTCATCCCCAGCCCCAGGGGGACCATGCCATGCTGTGCCAAGCCGTGCTGTGCCAAGCCGTGCTGTGCCATGCCGTGCTGTGCCATGCCGTGCTGTGCCATGCCATGCCGTGCCGTGCTGTGCCATGCTGTGCCGTGCCGTGCTGTGCCGTGCTGTGCCATGCCATGCCGTGCTGTGCCATGCCGTGCCCGGTGCTCTCCTCGGAGCACCGCAAGCAGCACGTGGCTCCCCGGCTCTCCGAGTGGTGACAGGGCAATTCAATCTCAGGGCTAATTTTAGCAGCTCCGTGAGGCTGTCCTTTCGGAGGGACACCGCAGCTCCAGCCATTTCTGGCGGGGGGCAGGGAGAGGCTGTCCTCACGCGCCTCGGCCGCGCTGGGCATCCCTCCCACGCCGGCCCCCTGTCTGCTGGCATGGCAGCACAGGGCGAGCCCGGCTGCGGCAGCCAAACACGAGGTCTCCAAAG